ACGACGAAAATTACTCGGCGGAGCTGCGCAACGCCTCCGCCGTGATGAAAAACCAAGTAGCAAGATTTAACGACCTCAGATTTGTTGGGAGAAGCGGCAGGGGTAGGTACCGGCCAAGAAATGGTTGGCCTTTTAATTTGGCTTTTTAGACAAGAAAAGGGAAAAAAACCCCAAAAAACCAAGAAAAAATATTTTTGTCATTTTCCCTTATTATATTCCCTTATCATATTCCCTTATTATTTTCCTTTATTATTTTCTCTTATTATATTACCTTATGATTTTACCCTATTATTTTACTTTATGATTTTACCCTATTTTTCTACCTTTTTGATTTACCCTATTATTTTACCCAATTATTTTATTACTTTATTTGAATTTAACGGTGATTTCGTTGCCGTGGGCTAGGCAGGAGAAGCCCCCAACCCCAAAATCTGTTCCCCAACAGGCGATGGGTGGGATGCAGGAGGGAAGCAGGAGCAGCCCCGGCCCCGTCGCAACTCTCCTCGCTCCTCCTGGGGATTCTACCGAGGTGTCGGATCCGGGAGGGGCGGGGAAAGAGATGAAAATGCGTATCTAAATATGCATAAACCTCTATAAATAAAAACAAGGCAGCCCCAGCCCAAATCCTCCCCAGTTTCTCTCTCCAGCAGGACGCAGTGCTCGGTACATCCCCTCTGCAGGGAAATGTGCTCAGGGGCAAAACCCACCTGGTAGCTCAGTTTGAAAGAGTACAAAACGAGTGTTTAAAAATAAGCCAGAGCTCGGCCTGAAGGGCTGGCAGTGCTCTCTGCTCCATGCGGGCACAGGGCAGAGCTGTGGGTGTTTTCAGGGGATTTTGCTCATTTTCTCCACGCAAAAGCAGGACAGAAATGTAGCTTCCTGCGGTTTTCCAAACAAATCAGTCTGTACCATCCGAGGACAAGGAAATAAACCCCCTGAAAATGTGAAACACAGAGCCCTGCCTGCCCTTCCTCGCTGCATCCCTCCCTGTACCTGAATTTCAAAGGGTATAAATAGAATTTCAGCATTTCAGCACCAATAAAAGCTGCAGATCGAAGCACTTAATTCTTCACTTAAACCAAAATAAGAACACTATATTTTAATGGCCATATGGCAGCGTTTTCTCAAAGGCTTCAAATGTATATACACAATGTCAGATATATTTTGACTTCTCTGCATTAATTAAAAGCAGTGATGTTAGGAATTATTTGCATGTAATAACTGTTTACTTGTTCCTCTTTATGAAACTTGAATAGTTTACATTCTTTCATACATTTCCTTTTTCCTGTTGGCTCCTTCTCCATGTTGCAGTTTCTTTAAAACTCTGCACTTAACTGGTTGCAGGTTGATGGATGGAAAATGTTTTTCTTTTATGAATTAAGCTTTCATTTCTGTAATCAATTATTCTCTTAGGCTCTTTTCTTTCTGGTTGGGATTTTTTTTTCAGCCTCCTTACACAAATTTCCAAACTGAATGCAACCCAATCTCAGCTTGACTCTTGAATTCATTATTAACTTTCTGCCTCTGCACTCTCAAGCTCTGAATTAACAGTAGTTTAGTCTCAGAAAACCCTTGGGTGAATAATCTCCTTCCTCGGGCAGAGTCCCGGCAAATACTCATTACAGCAGTGGAAACACCTCCGCTGCCTCTAACGGGTGTAACTCAAGTGCTTATTATTTTAATTTTTTTTGCATATTCTTGTGGGATGAGGCTTTGTAATATTCACAGAGAACCAGCCCCATCAGGGCTCCCTGGGGCTGACGAGAAGGCAGCACAGTGGGGTTTTCTAGCAGCATGAAGCATAGATTTAGTTCCCCGTGTCCAACCATACTTTCTCAGCACGAGGCTTTTTCAGACCAATTTAATGTGAAAAATCGTTTCTATTGAATTTTTATTCTTGTTGTTACACTTGTTTTCCCTTGTTTGGCTCAATCTCTGACATCTCAGTCCTGGTTTCATTTATTCTGGGAGAAATCTCGGCTCGCTATGAAATATTTTGTTGGAGCAGAGCTGTGTGTGTACAAATGTTTGTGGAAATCTGAAGTGAGGACGTGTTCATCTGTAAACATTCTGTCCAGCCCATCCGTGTGCCTGACTTGCAGGAGTCTGTCAAACCAGGAGTAGCCAAACTCTCATTTTGAAAACACGACTTGAAATGGGTCAGAATTAGGTATTTTTGGTAATAACGTGTCTGGAGTTATTCCCCAGCACGGAGAGCTGGGAAGAGCAGGTCTTTATCCTTCAAAAAAAATAAATTCCCATCTCCATGTGCAAGACAAAGGGAAGGGAGAAGGATCAGTTTTGCGTTGCTCTAAAAAAAAAAAACCAAATCAACCTTTTTCTGCTCAGATTGCACTGTAGAAAATGAAAGCCAAGGCCAGCACAGTGCTGCGATCCCTGTTGCATCCCGTCCCTGTCCTCCCAGCTGGAATATCCCCCCGGAGCATCCCACGGAGCTGTGGGTGCTCCCAAACCCACCCAGTAACAGATCCAGCCCCAGCGAAGCATTGCTGGGGCACGGTGGGAATGAGTAACCTCAGCTTGGCTTCCTGAGAAGGCGGAAAATGAGTAAAAATGATGCGAAGTAAGAATCGTCATTTTCGTTTCTTGGGAGGATTTTTGAGAGATGCAGAACAGGCTTTGGTTGACTTCTCTCTGCACTCCCCGGAGAGGTGTTTGGATTTGCAGCCAGGAGCTGAATGCAGGGAGGTTATTCCCCATGGAGAATAGAAAATTTAAAAGAAGAATAACCAGAAAAATAATAAACAAACCCAATCAGCTGCTGGAGCGAGCAGGGCACGGAGCTGCTGCGTTCAGCGCAGGAGCGTGCGGGAGGGTTGTGTGTCTTACAAACCCGATTTGCCTGCAAACCTTTCCCTCTCCTCCTGTGGAATTTGCTAAATAATTGCTCCTCATCCCACACTCTGGTTCTGCAAACGTTTTGCCTCCAGATTCTTGGTGTTGGGTTGTTTTTCTCACGGCCGTGCGGGTGCCCAGGAGGGTTTGAGCTCCGCAGGCTGCGGCGGCTCTGCTGGTCCGTGCAGGGATCCAAGTTGTATAATTATGTATTTTTTTTTTACCCTCCTAAATGCTTCTTTTTGTGCACAAAATAAGCTGCAAATTTGTGCATTGTTTAGCCCTGCTTTGAAAGCGCAGGTAAGGCACGGATTGATGGTTATTGTCGGCTTTAACGCCAGTATTCCCCCTCCTCCCAATCTCCCATGAGGAATTCTCCCACCTGGGATAATTGCAGGATGTTCTCCGGGGGAGATAATTTCAATTTTCCGTTTATTTTTTTTTTTCTTCGAGCTGTATAAATACTGTTTTGTTTTGCTAGGGATATTCTCAGATTCAACCCTGTAGATTGAGCTGAAAATCCCTGATCCCTTCGGGGGAAATGGGAAGGAAGGTGGTTTCTTACTGCATTTATTTGTGGAATAACTGCTGGAGGAGTGAAAATCTATCACAAGGAGGTTTATACCTTATATATTCTGCTGGAGTTTAGAGCTCTGAATTATTTGATACCTTCGAAATCCCATGGGGATTGCTCTTGGAGGGTTGGCTAGGGTAATTTGTGCAACCTCCCTCCTTTTCCCAAGGGAATACTGAATTTGGGGAGGCTGTGGGAGAGCAGAGGTCTCCACATGAAGGGCCTCAGCTCTCCCACAGCCTCCCAATCCACTGGCCATTGAGGGAATAATGGCAAGGAGAGGGCAGAGGGGCTGAGACAAGGAAGACAAGGCTGCAGGAGGTGAAGGAGTTTGGGGTCAGGGTGGGACCAGGGTGCAGGTGTGATAACACCCTGTGTCATGCTGGAGTTTTCAGGCTGCAGATGGAAACTTGTGCTGTTGGGGTGAGGGTCACTGCTGTGTTCTTGTAAAATTGGTCTCCCAAGAGCTTTTTACTGCCTTACTTCCTTTCATATTATAAAAAGATGGCAAGTATCTCTAAATGCCCCTGCAATAGTATCCAAATTCTTCCCTGACAACAGGTTTCAGCTTTCTGCTCAGGACTGGGAGAGGGGGACAGTCCTTGCAACTGGTGGGGCTGCCTGTCTTGTGGCCAAAGCTGGCTGGATTCAGTTCCCATTTAATAATTTCCAATTTTTTGCCATACATGGGCCGTGGGTGTCCATATGGCCAAGCACTCAAACATCCCTGTGTAGGCAAATCCATGGGGCCAAGGCCACGGATTTCCCTGCAGACAACATCACCCATCACCTGCAGACTGATAACACCTCAGCCACTTGTTCCTGCAGAATCATCCCAAGGATGCCAGGATCCAAATCCATCCTTCATGGAGGAGATCCTGCAGGCAGTGCTGTGTTTTAGAGCTGGATTCCCATGGGAAAAAGGGAAGCATATGAACTGGAAAGCACCAGGAAGCTGCTGTGGGTGGAAGGGTCGATATGGGGACAGGGGAAGGGAGGGGGTGACAAGTGACTTTTCCATCCAGGAAGGTCCTGGCTCCTGCTCTGAACAGGGTCCAAGCCTCTCTCTGCTGCAGCCAGCTGAACCCCAGTGGGAACTGGCCAAGCTTTGTGTCTCAGCAATAATGTCTCATAAAATTAAATGATGTGTGTGTCGGAGTTCGGTGGATGTGGATATTTGTGTCTGAGCTTGCTCCGGCAGGAGCCTTTCTCCCCCACAAGAGCTGAACCTATATGAATATCCTCATTTCTCCTGTTGTTTTTTATTTCCCCTCCTCTTTCCCCTCCTTAGGAAAAAGCTTCACCCTGACCATCACCGTGTTCACCAGCCCTACCCAAGTCGCTACCTATCACCGAGCCATAAAAGTGACCGTAGACGGACCCCGGGAGCCACGAAGTAAGTGATGTGTTTTATTTGGCAGCACTGAGAAGTGCAGGGAGGGGGGAATACATGGAGTTCTCCATGGCCAAAGGATGTAGGATGCAGACCCAGCTGGGGCAGCACTGTTGGCAGCGCACAGAGCTAAGGAGACACTGTTGGTGTGGCCGAGCAATGGGAACAGATTGATTCCTTGGATTTTCTCAGCACAGAGGAGTGGAGTGTGTCCCTTCCTACCACTTGCTCTGTATCCCATTGTGGAGGGACAGTTTTACAGCCTCTCACCATGTGTCCTATAGTGGAG